CAACTGGTTGAACTAAATGCCATTTTATTCTAAATGTAAGTATAACGAGTTTGTTAATTTCTCATCTCTTAAAAGAATTAAACAGGAAAGGAATACAAAATTATGTAGAAATTAAAGGAACCCGTACAGAACAATAAACACATTATATACCCAGAGAATGAAAAAAATTCAATTAAACATGACCAAAACACTTAGTCATAGCAGAATATAAATAGTACAAATAAAGCATTATAAAATAAAATAAAAAAGCATATTAACATAAAAGAGAGTAAGAAACTTCTGACCTGTTGGAGAGTCATGACTATGAAAGGCTCCAAGATTGTCACGTTTATTGAAGAACATTTATCAAGTCTTTCATTATCATGTTGCCCATATATATATCTAAAATGAGATGGTATATTGGTTGCAAAAAATAAACAAAGAGGAAGATGTAAAACTTATATTTTACTCATTGAATTACTATGCTATTTATAGAATATTACACACCTATTCATGAAAACATATATCTGTTGAACTATAAGAAGTTTTTGCCTTAACATTCTTCAAAACCAATTTAATGCACACTAATCAAAGATGTGTCTTCAACAAAAGGGTTTTCAAAGAATATTACACACCTATTCATGAAAACATATATCTGTTGAACTATAAGAAGTTTTTGCCTTAACATTCTTCAAAACCAATTTGATGCACACTAATCAAAGATGTGTCTCTAACAAAAGGGTTTTCAAAGGTACGTGATCGTGAATAAAACATTTAATAATTTTTTGCACAAGAATTTTTTTCAAAAAAGATGGAAAGAGAGAGAGCAAGATAGTAATTTAGTCTTTTTTATATGATTGAATCGACGTATACTTTCAAATAGTTTTGAGGAAGCAAAGCACGTATCTTTTTTTATGTATAAAAAAAGTAAATACAAAATAATTTAAATTGAAAGTTGATATGTTTTAACCAGTAAGTAACTCTTTATGAAAAAAAAAAGATTTGCAATGTAAGAAGTGTTTTAATTTGAAAGAAATTCTTTATAAAAGAAGACACTCATACCAAGCAAAGTACATAAAATAGAAGACTTGTCTAGAGTTTTGTTTTGTTTTATTTTTTCTTTTTTTCTTTTTCTTTCTTTTGCAAACAGGTGCTAAGTAGTTAAGAAGACAATTTTTCTAAATTTTTATTTTTCTTATTAGAAAAAAGTGTATTGACAAGGAATATAAAAAACAGTTGAATTCCTAAGCGGTACAATCTTTAAAAATCAAAAGGTGTATAATGAGATGGTATATTGGTTGCAAAAAATAAAAAAAGAGGAAGATGTAAAACTTATATTTTACCCATTGAATTACTATGCTATTTATAGAATATTACACACTGGCCTATTCATGAAAGGATATATCTGTTGAACTATAAGAAGTTTTTGCCTTAACATTCTTCAAAACCAATTTGGTGCACACTAATCAAAGATGTGTCTCCAACAAAAGGGTTTTCAAAGGTACGTGACCGTGAATAAAACATTTAATAATTTTTTGCACAAGAATTTTTACATAAAAAGATGGAAAGAGAGAGAGCAAGATAGTAATTTAGTCTACCTTTTTTATATGATTGAATCGACATATACTTTCAAATAGTTTTGAGGAAGCAAAGCACCTATCTTTTTTAATGTATAAAAAAAATAAATACAAAATAATTTAAATTGAAAGTTGATATGTTTTAACCGGTAAGTAACTCATTATGAAAGAAAAGATTTGTAATATAAGAAGTGTTTTAATTTGAAAGAAATTCTTTATAAAAGAAGACACTTATATTAAGCAAAATACATAAAACATAAGACGTGTCTAGAGTTTTGTTTTGTTTTATTTTTTCTTTTTCTTTCTTTTGCAAACAGGTGCTAAGTAGATAAGAAGACTATTTTTCTAAATTTTTATTTTTCTTATTAGAAAAAAGTGTATTGACAAGGAATATAAAAAACCGTTGAATTCCTAAGCGGTGCAACCTTTAAAAATCAAAAGGTGTATAATGAGATGGTATATTGGTTGCAAAAAATAAACAAAGAGGAAGATGTAAAACTTATATTTTACTCATTGAATTACTATGCTATTTATAGAATATTACACACCTATTCATGAAAGGATATATCTGTTGAACTATAAGAAGTTTTTGTCATAACATTCTTCAAAACCAATTTGATGCACACTAATCAAAGATATGTCTCCAACAAAAGGGTTTTCAAAGGTACATGACTGTGAATAAAACATTTAATAATTTTTTGCACAAGAATTTTTACATAAAAAGATGGAAAGAGAGAGAGAGAGAGTAAGATAGTAATTTAGTCTACCTTTTTTATATGATTGAATCGACATATACTTTCAAATAGTTTTGAGGAAGCAAAGAACAAACGATTTGTAATATAAGAAGCGTTTTAATTTGAAAGAAATTCTTTATAAAAGAAGACACTTGTTCTAAGCAAAGTACATAAAATAGAAGACGTGTCTAGAGTTTTGTTTTGTTTTATTTTTTCTTTTTTTCTTTTTCTTTCTTTCGCAAACAGGTGCTAAGTAGTTGAAAAGACTATTTTTCTAAATTTTTATTTTTCTTATTAGGAAAAAGTGTATTGACAAGGAATATAAAAAATCGTTAATTCCTAAGTGGTGCAACCTTTAAAAATCAAAAGGTGTATAACAATGTAAATTGAAATCTTGAGTAATATAGCGTTGAAATCCTAAATGGGGCAACAATTAGAAATCAAAAGGCATATAACAATGTAAAACCTGAAAAGGCACGTAATAATAAAAATTAAGTGCTTTAAAATGTATATAAATATTATAAATTGAATACACTTTTACGGTATATAGATATATAGATATGTGTGTGTACAATTTTCCCTCTATTTCTCTTCTCTCACTGTTCACTAACCACTTAAATTATTCCAGCAGCTCTGTTTTTCTGTTCCCAACCTGCTTGAGAATTTGCAGTGGAGCTAATCGAATTTTTTTTTTTATGAAACAACAAATTTTGATCATTATATATATCATTATTAGTATTATTATTATTATTATTATTTTGATAAAATAACAAAATTTGATCATCAATTACTACTTTTTTTGCACTTCACCCCTTTTAGATTATTCAACACGCTTCCAATCTGTGTGTGCGTTACACTTTCATGAGTCCTTGTTAGGTTCAGACGTCTTCTCTCTCACTTTCATGACTCAATTTTGTTGTTAGTCAAGCTCAGACGTCTTCCCAAAAGGGATTCACCGATGTAGACTTGCAGCTATTTTGAAAAGACAAGGCAAATTTGTATCTGAAATCTCACGAACATTTGTTCCAGAGGGGATATTGCAATTGTTGATTTCAACAAGTTGTTGATTTCAATTGTAATTTAATTTATGCGGTTTGGATTCACATAAATAAATTATCCGTAAAGATTGGATTGGTTAAAGGAACAAAACCCAGTATACAGAGGAGGAGCAAAACCCAGTATACGAATCAAACAGACCCATCACATCCCATGGGGTTGTCAATATAGATAGATACCATATTTTCAGGTTATGAGGATCAAAATCCCAACCCTTGTAATATGCATCAATCTCAAGCCCTAGTAAGAAAAAAAAAAAAAAAAACACAGAGAGCCAAGGAACACCTTTATGCATAAATAGAAACGGGCTTTAACAATCAAGTTTTCTGCGGCAATATTGCCAATCGATTCGGTATCATTTTCGAGGTCGGCGTCTGTCCTTCCGACAACGATGCGGCGACGCCGAATATTGTGGTCCTTCCGACAGCGACGCGACAACGCCGAATATTATATATAATTGTGTGAAAGTGCAGAAAAGGAAGACATGGCGGCGAACGGAGTTGGAAATGGATAGTTTAGCTTTGCTGCGAGCAACAATGGGAGTGGCCGGAACGGGCTTTCGAAGATTCAGACGAAGAAGCAGGACGAGGTGTGTCACGACGACAGTGGTCCGACGGTGAAGGCTCAGACCATCGACGAGTTGCATTCGCTCCAGAGGAAGAAATCGGCGCCAACTACGCCGATTAAGGGAACTCAGGGTGCTTTCCCCGCCATTTCTGACGAAGAGCGCCAGAAACAGCAACTGTTGATTAGCCAAACGCGGTCGTTTGCAGTTGTTTGTATAACCCTAATGCCAAACGACGTAGTTTGCAAGTGTACTGTGTTTCATTTCCCAAAACGACGTGTTTCATTTCCCAAAACGACGTAGTTTAAGTCAATGTCTATTTGGATAATTTCAACTTTTCCAAGTTTTTTTTTTAATTATTATTGAATAAAGAATATTGGGGGTATTTTTATATTTTTACCTACCCCTCTAACAAAAAATCCTTATTTCCAACTTTTTAAAACTAGAGGGGTGATGTTTGAATAAAAGGGATGTTATTTGCACATTTTTAAAATTAGAGGAGTTTTTTACACTTGACCCATATATATATATATATATGAGGGCATTAGTGATATTTTACATAACTAAGGATAAATTATTACTCCTCCGTTCCTAAATAAAAGTCCATGTTTAGAAATTAGAGTTTTTAAGGGAACATGCAATTAATGCATTATCCCTTTTTAAAATTATCAAATTGTTTTTTTTAATTTAAATATATATAGTTACAAAGTTTGAATTTTTTAAAAAAGATAAAGAATAATAATGAAAATATAATGAAAAGATGATTTGACTTTTTAAAAAGAATAATTAATTTGGGACATGTAAAAAAAAAAAAAATGGACGTATATATATAAAAAAATACACTTAATTCTCATATTACTTGATGAGATTGAGTTTGTCATGTGGGGCTATCACACATATAATTATCACAAAAAAAATAAAATTATATATATTTATATATTAAAAGGGCAATTTAGGCATTATCATAATTTCAACTGGTTCATGATTTCACACACGTCGGAAAAATTAATTCGGTGAATTTTAGGGTCTTTTGTGCAACTTTCTAAGTCAGGAGTATTTGCAACAAAGGGAATAGTTAGTTAGTTTTTTTTTTTTTTTTTCATTTCACTTCTGCCTTCCAAATACTCCTACTATGCTATTTGGCCTATAAATACCATCGCTCGCAACTATCCTTTCAAGAAATACACAGAGAGAAAAAGAGATCCGGTGACAGGTCCGTACTATCGTTACCAAAGCTCCTTAATTTTTCTAGGGTTATGTTATTTGAATGATGATTATGTTTTGTGGTTGCTTACATCCACAATAATCTCTGTTTCACAAAATTTATGTTAGGGTACGTAAAATCGGTTTATTCGGAGAGTTGTATCAATTCTAGGTTTACATCTACATTTGGGTTTTTATATTTAGACTGATGAATTCACGTTTGCTTTATATGGGATTTCATATGCTCTGCTTCTGATTCTGAGGTATTTGGGGCCAATTTTTGTTCAGGTGACCTCTTAATTTCTTTGTTGGAGTACAATGGCTTTCTTTGTTGGAAAAGGTCCATCTGATGTTGACGATGACGATGATGTTGACTCATCCTTCATTGATCCAGATATCATCTTTGATGGTTCTCATTCATTTTATGGAAAATCTGGCTCTGAGCGTCAGTTGATAGAAATATCTATTGAAGATTTAGACGCTTATGTTAACAATCAGAAGTTGTTAATGGCACTTGATAAAGAGGATAGTCCTACTATCCCCAGTGAAAATGCTAATGGTACCTGGTGTTTTTGCATTTAATAAATCCATCCTATGTACCTTTGTTATGAATGTGTGTGTATATATATATATATATTATCATATATAGTGTATTTGCTGCTAATAAGTAGAACATTTTATGGTTCATTCCACAGGGAACCAGAACTTGAGATTCCGAGGAGTCAAAAATGGTGGATTGGAAGGAATGCATGGTACTAACTCTATGGCTAGGGGTAACACCAGTGATGGGGGAGTAAGTGTCTTATTTCTGACTAGTGTAAATTGACTAGTTCAATGTCATTGAATTTTTATAACGTTGAGTTGAATTTGAGTGAAATAGTCTCATATAAGAACTATTTGAGCTCTTTATAAAGTATTATGGTCTTTGTTGAAAATTCAAGATTAGTTTCTTTTATTAATTATATTTCCATTTTGGAAGTTAGCACGTCCCCATGGCCCCTATGTTTGTGTGTGTATATATGTATATATTTCCTGATATTGCCATTAAAGTAGAAGAGGGGCTGTTTGTTGGTCGGCCCCGTGGCAAAAGTTCATAGCTCCATGGATAAGAACTTCAGCTTGATTTGATGAACCACACTGGGTACTGATTTGATTTAGAACTTCAAGTGAAAAAGTGGGAAAAGGAACCTAATAAAGGTTGTCATCAACATTGGGAAGGTAGAGAAGAAGTCTTTACTCTGAGCATGACTAGTGTTGCTTATGTAGGGCCATTCCCTTACCATGAAGCACAGTCCAGGTGGCAAAATGGATACATATCAGGCTTTACACAATAATGATGAAGGTTTGTTTCCTTGTGTAAATTTTAGAGTTGTTATATTTAATAAATGTGTCAACTTAGGAATTGACATTGTAGTGTTTTCTTAGATGGCGCTTTTATTGAAGAAGCTCAGAGGTCTCTTCATGCCTGGGAGATGAATTCGCTCAGCTATAAAGGTAGCTTTTCCATCTAATCTTAATAAATTGGTGTATCACAGTTTGCTTGAGATTGTAGGTACCCACTCCTCGTGCTCCTGAGAATTTCGTGTCTTTATTTCGTGTTTTTTGATGGGAATGATAAATTGACCATTGTTTTTATACATGTTTATTTTCTAAGCTTCACGATGACTGTAGATATTTGAACCTGATGTGTGTTGAAATCATAACGTGATGAGTTACAACCTACTAATTTTGTCTTGGGCATAACCTACTAATTTTGTCTTTTTTTAATGGAAGATCAATGGCAATGTGGCAACTGTGCTTGATAACGTGATGAGTTGATACTTATAATAGATGGACGCAATAGTAAGGTTCCATTTAGCCATGCTACTATGGGGTACAACGTACTTTTGTTGAACACTGTGTAATGTTAAGTGAACTAATATGCTGGGTGTACCCTGTTCACTAAAGGGGCACAATATTGCAAAAAGAATGTGGTTAATTGATGATCCTCTTGCATGCTGTAATGGGTATGATGGTTTTTTGAACCTTTTCGTTTCACTTTTCCATTTTCTGCTGCAGCGCAATAGGAAATGCTTTGTTGATTTTCAAGTGGTTGAATCTGCATGTGGTTCCCTTCCTTGCAGCACTACGACATTTAGATTCTTTGATTTAACTGAAGTTAGGTTCTACCTAGAGCCAGGGATGGACTAAGAAAAGTTTGTTTTGGGGGGGGGGTGGGGGGGGGGGGGGGGGGGGGGTGTTGGGAGATAGTGGAGTTTTCCTATAATAGTAGTGGGGGTAAAGTTAAAATTTTATAGGTATACAATTCAAAAAAAAAAAAAGAAAAAAAAAAAGAAGACAAAATTATTAGGTTATGCCTTGCTAGAGTGAAATGGTGAAACATCGTCCATGTAACCAAAGATTATTAAATGAGACAATGTTTAACGAGTTGAGTATTTTAGTATATTTTCTCTATGCCATTTTAAAATTTGTATTTCTTTATTTTTATTTTTATTTATTGGAAGTCTTTTTGAGAAGCATGGTAGTTGGTCCTAAATAATACTTCATAGACAATATTGCTGTGTTTCATAGTAAAGATTTTTCTTTTATGTTTTAAACCCTTTCCTTATGGTTATAGTACATGTGACTATAACATTTGCAATTTTGCCTTTGTCATTGTAGCTGCAACTTTTTTTGACTACCATATCCAGTTTAGTTGGGGTATTGCATGTCAGACAACTTGTCGCCTTCTTGAGCTTTAGGCAGCGCAATGACAACCTTGCATCGACTTGATAGTGCTAGAAAACTTTTGGGCAGTTTCTTACATTTGTTGTTTATTTAGTTGGTCTTCAAGCAGTCTAGTCAGAGTGCCTTATTGAGAATGGTTTGGCCTCACATTTTTAGTTGAGAAATTGTTTAGGTCAAGAATCATCCAATCTATATCTATATCTGTGGGAATTAAATCCCCTTTGTTCGGCATAGCGGGAGCACACATGTCACAAACATAAAGATCCAATCATCAAAACAAATAAACAACATGCAACACAATATTTTACGTGGATCCACGTAGAGAAGAAATTTCACTACAATGAATCAAGAAGATAATATGTAACTGATCAAGAAGATAATATGTAACTGTAGAGAATGCCTGCTCACTCACTTGCTCCTGAGAAATTAGAGACTTTTAACATCGAATCGTGTACGCTCACCTTTTTGCTCAATTATAGTGTAGGATACCCGACCATTTCACGATCTTCCACTCCAGGAGACTTCTTCTCACCATCGTTGTTCCACCACTAACTCATCATGTCTACCCTCACACTTCTTTTCTCTTTCACTTCTCAATTCTTTTTTCTTCTCTACCTTCTCCACTCAACCCCCTCTCTGTTTATAGAGAGTTCCTAACCCTAGCTTGGTGAACAAGTAATACAAATCCCTTTTGGAAAAGAAAAGCAACTACTTGAGGCTCAAGTACAATTACTTTGGGTCTAAGTCTAACAAAACATTATCAAACATCACAATTGGAAACCCAACCCAATATCAATATCTATATTACTAATAATAGTGTATATAATTTTATTTTTTTATGAATGCATTTTATACTTTTTTTTTTTTTTTCCATTTTTTTTAGGCACTTTCATTTATTTCAAGAGTTGCACCTCTTGAGTTGCCCATTTCTCTATTTTTTACCTCTTCTTATTTTACACATTATTTAATTTTGTTGATTATTTTGATTCAGTTCAATGGTTATACCTTTTAAGTTGTCCATCGTTTTTTCTCTCTCTTCTTTGTGAGTTTATTTTTTATACCATCTCTCTGGCACACACAGACGGTACACATCTACTTATTATTAATTTTTTGTTTTATTTAATTTTGATTTTCAACTTTCCTTCTCTCCTGTTTTGATATTCTTGGCGATAACCCTTTAACTTTGTTACCACCCTATTTTTTTTTATGATAAGTAACTTCATTACCAATATATAAAGAAGTGTTTTTGGTGCAATTATAATTGATTTGCCTTTTAATGGTGTAATAGTACCTCTAGGGCCTTGGTCTTCCAGAGAATGAGTCAAAGTGCCACCATGTTTATGGCTTGGGCAAAGAACACTTGCAAATCGTCCCAAAGCTTGTAACGTTGCATATTTATGGGGATTTAAAATGGTTAATATTGCATACTGTTTCTTGCTATTTTCTAGACTTTAACAAGCATGGCATGATTAATAAGAAAATGCAGAAAAGAATAAGAAGTCGTTTTTGTTTTATTGAAGTGGCACCACTCCAGAGATGTACTAATAAAAAAAAAAGTTGAAATGAAATTTTTGCATCTTTGTCAAGAACAATGTGAATTTTGTGCTTCTATCAGTGATTTATGCAATCCTATGAGCTGGATCGTGATTTTCATAAAGCTTGCATGAAACATTTTTGTAAAATTTAAATATTGTTGCTGATGTATGTGGTCCAAAATCATTCATAAATCTCACTAGAAAGCCATGGAATTGACTGTAGGATTGACCAATCTTCTCTTTTCTATTTCTTCTTGTTTTATTGAAAATTTTCTCTTGGAAATAAATATAGTATGAATCTATTACCTTGTAATTAGCTCCTTGTAATTAGCTACTATTGTAAAATTATATTCGGATTTGTTTGATATTTGTGGAAAGCATGTTCATATGAAATAATAGCGGAAAAAAACATGTAGTGAGGATAACACTCTTGGTCCAGAGTAGTTGATATAGCTTTCTTTTAGCCATTGTTAATCAATTGTGAGGCAGCTAATGGCTTCCTTGGGATATAACATGATTTGAATGGGGAAATGTATGATGGATGACTAAATGTGGGCGACAGTTTGGATTTTGAAATTAATAGTGGAGAAATACATCAAGCATGAAGAGATTAAAGCAGAAGAATGGGAGATCCTAGGGTCTTATTTGGAATTCTTAAGCTTTTGTGTGCTGCATTCCCTGTTTGAATGGTTTCTAATACAATCTTACTTATAAAAAATAAATAAAGGACAGTATCAAACTCAGAAGAATCAGGAACAGGCAGAACTTGTTGTACAATAATTCATATGAGAGTATCATGAATAAATCTGAACTTTTTTCAAGTTTTTGTTGATAGTCACAACTTTGATTGTTTTTATTTATGTTGCCTTTCAACTTTTTACATTTTCTTTTTTGCATGAACAAAGAGTGAATTAATTTTTGTGATTATTTTCCTTCTTGTTATTTGCTTCTACTGTGATGTTAAATTAACTCTAATTTTCATATATTGATTACTCTTCATACATTGTTTTTTATTTACAAATGATTATTTGTGTTTTGTTTGTGATTTGAATTTTAATTTGGCTAATGGTTCTTAATTTTTATATGAGGTAGAACGCAATAGAAGATCCTTTGTTGGGGAGGAGTTATCCATTGGGGCTCTTAAGTATTCTATTATCTGTTCTCTTTTTTGTTGGGGTATGGGGAGAGATTGTTCCTCTGTTGAGGAGTTTTTGGAGTTTTTGGGATCTTTGGATCCTTAGGCTTTCTCTGTTTTTTGTTCTTGGTTCTCGTACAGCTCTTGGGATGCATTCCCCTCTTGAACGCTTTCTAATATATTTTACTTATCACAAAAAAAAAAAATAAATAAAAAAATCATCACTGTTTACTCTTTTCCTATTCTTTTTGTTTTTTTTTCTTTTCCTTTTTACCTTCTTTTTTGTTGTTCTTTGATTTTTTTTCTTTTCTTGTATATATTCATTTATATGATTTGCATCAAAATGCACATGATAAAAGATAATTGGTTCGCTGCGTTTGTCGCAGCAGGTCGGATTCTTTCATTTATAAAATTGTAAGATACGGGGACTCGGGTATAAATGGTCCAATAGTGGACACGGATACTTTGACACATGTGCATAGGTAAAGGAGATATGTAACTATCTACACTCTTATTGTTAAAGATAAAAAAGGACATGCATTAGTTTGTCCTTAGTAGGAAAAATAAATAAATTGTTAAAAGATCACTTTAACGTGCATCAGTTTGTCCTTATTAGCAAAATAAATAAAATTGTTAAAAATCACTTTAAATAGTAAATAGTATTAAAACTATAGTTTCTATCAAGTTCTGGTGTTTTCACAAATAATTAAACTTCTCTTAGACAAATTTCTCTCTTTTCTTTGGTGAAGAGAAAAAAGAAAAAAATTTCCATTTCTAATTCTTCCATATGCATCATTTCTTGTCTTGTGTTCTGTCAGAACCTGCCTCAAGCTGTGTAGATATGAGTGTTGGATACTGGTGTGTCTCCCAAGGTCAGATTCTTTCATTTATAAAATAATAAGATACGGGGACTCCGCTATATATGGTCCAAAAGTTGGACACAGATACTTTGACACATGTGCTTAGGTAAAGGATATGTAACTATCTGCACTCTAATTGTTAAAGATAAAAAAGGACATGCATCAGTTTGTCCTTATCAGCAAAACAAAAAAATTTGTTAAAAGATCAGCTTTAAATAATAAATAGTCTAAAAACTAAAGGCTCTATCTATTTTAATTATTGAATAATAAACAATTTTAAATAAAGAGGACATCTCAAGTGTCACTTCTCCTTAAAAAAAGGGGGGGAATAAAGAAAAGGACATGTCATTTTTTTTTTTGTATTTTATTTGTTTAGGTCTACATTAGTCTTTATCACACTAATCTATTAATTAAGTACTTGTATTCTTATACAAGTCATCTTGCAGAAGTCAAAAAGATAGAAGCACACAACTCAATGTAATAAAAACACACAACAATAAAAGAAACGTGGTAGTCGATTGATCGCAACATAAAATATATCTGAATGATCTTGTAAGGCGCTTGAATGCACTCTTTGGCGAGACACCGAAAATCGTGCACCTGCAGAGCTTTGGAGAACTCATCGTCTTCAACTTTGAAAAAGAAGAAATATATAGAGAACAGTGGCAGCAGCCTTTTAAAGTATATAAAAGGCGTGGCAATGAGGGTTCTAAGGCTCAAACCTTAATTTGGCACATGTTAGAGGCATTATTTTGGTAATTGCGTTAATTATGGTGAAATTTCATTGTTTTGGTAACTTGCATCATTTAGATTAAATTGCATCAATTAAGTTATTTGTTACTGTATTAAGCTAGAGTCAACTTTTGATTACTTCTATTATAGGGTAATCCAAGGGACATCCGTTATTATAAAAAGGATATTATGTAATTCTGATTAGGCAGTCAATGAATGAATAACAAAATATCTTTTGAGATTTCTTGTTAGTGATCCTCAAATTCTAAGGGCGTGAGGCCTTCTCCAGGTGTGATACCTAGGCCCTGTTGGAGTGATTCCAATAAGTTTTTCTTTGTTATTTTCACTTCTTCTCCACTAACTATCCTTGAATCTTAGTTTTGTTTTCTGAATTTCCAGCCCACAATTCTTATTTGCTTTCTTCTATTTGAGCCTGTTCTTTGTCATCAATGCTAGACGAAATGTCAATCTACCACAAAGACATTTGAAAATTTTCCAAATCCATTAGAAGAATCTACCGAATGAGTTTTCCATGAGCATTTCTTCATCAACTAACGAAATGTCAATCTTAGTTTTTTTTTTCTATCTGTGTTTACGGCTTTCAAAACATGTTTTCACATGCTTGTTGAAACAACCACACACACACCATTGTTACAATACATGCCTTTCCCCTCATTAATCATTCATTTAAGGTGTAGCAGAATTGTGCTTAGTGGTGATCTCTAAACCCCAAGATTTCTCTCTCTCTTATTTTACTTCTATTGCATTATTGTTTACCTTAGCTTAATTGCACCTTAGCTTAACTCAACCACCAACCAACCTTTGATCACTCGACCTACTAACCCTAATTTTGATTCCACAACCTTTTACGACCCTCACAATCCCTTGGGATGATCCCTACTTGCCCTAGCTATATTTTTAGTGAAAGGTAGTAGTGGCAAATTATAAATGTAAAACTTGGCCACACTCATCTTAGTCTACCTTGCACACAAATTTGGTTGGAACGACGGCAAGCCACCAAGTTTTTAGCGCCGTTGCCGGGGATTGATTGATTGGCAACGTCGTATTTGTGGAATCAATTAGGAATTAGTACTCTTTTGACACACGAGACATTTCTCCTTATCAGAGATGGCAATTTAAGTCGCCCTGGAGGTTCCCAACTTGTCCGACCCTGCTATGACGGTTTTGGGATACTCTTTATAGGGTTAGGAGCGGGTATGGTAAAAAAATTTAAATGTAGCTCGGGCCCGGGGGCGGGGATAGGTTTTATGCTATCATACCCGGGTTATAGTATGCAATATACATATATAATGCATCTGTGAAATTAGAATAGTGCTATTATTATATATGTCAGCTTTCTCTCATGCAAACTCTAATCTCCAGGACTCCAACCATAATTGTCTCACTCATCGGGATAGGACGGGGTGTGAGTTATGTTCACAGGGTGGGGATGGAATTTGAGTGTTAATCTGTTTCGGGTTCGGAATGGGGATTGGATTCGGAGATGATAAATGTTGAGGGGTAGGGTTTGGGGAAATCCATCCCTTAGCCGCCCCATTGCCATCCCTATCCTTTATGAGTGCAAACAACTTCTACCCTCTGGAAGATGTGGGACATGTGACATCATCATTTAACCAATGCCAGTACTTTTTATTATTAATTGTCTAGCATTCTATGGCTGGTCCTACAGTCATATTACAAAATTTCTCCTTCAGTTGGATAGGTATCATTGATTGCAAGACTGAGAAGCTCTTTATCCAATGTGATGGAATTTTATGGGTGGCGATGTCTGCTTTTCTGAATGATAAGCCTAAGGTCAAATGAACAGAATTTTGTGCTCCCTTGTTAGAATTTAGTTTTTTATGAATAAGAGAAAGAGGTGTCATTACGTGAACCATCAGTTCTACTTATGAGTAAGGGCGTAGATTAAGTTGAGCACTAAATTTTTAGAATCGGAGATAGAACTTCTTAATGTATGCCAAAGATGGTACAATCAGGATAAAAGCTTGTCATGGCTTCTGCTATGATTATTAATTTGGTATTATAGCATCGAGTATTAGCGCAACTCTAAATTTGGAAAAGAAGCTACGGCTTATGAGCACTGTCAGCCCCCATTTGTGAAAAAGGTGCAAATACACCCCCTCTGACCACTTTCTAATGAAATTTGACAAAATAATTTTGATATTCTGATTTCCCCTTTTACCCTTCCAAATTTTCCCTTCTCACTTTTCCCTACCTTTCTCTCCATGTCTTAACATGACATGTGTTTGTGTATGTACAATATGCATGTTTATCCAAGACGAATTTATATAAGAATTAAGAGCATCACATATATGGGTAGGCCCCATGCATATTGTACTTAAATAAACATGCATATTGTACATACACAAACATATAAATGTATATATGTATGCGCTGATGTGAATGTGTGTTTTAGTGTGTGGCGTGAGGGAAAAAGGGGCAAATAATGAAAAAAGAATAAAGAATCAAATATAGTGATGCTTGTTCATATGTCTGGGAGGTGGTTAGCTATTGTGTATACTGGTCATTTTCAAGGATGTTTCTGTGTACTTGGTTTTGTGAAGTGAGAATTAATTCATGTTAAAATGGGTTTTACCTTGTAGAGAGAGAAGAAATGGAAATAAATCGGGTCTGTGTTTGTGGTGGATTGAAGGGTCAGAAGTGAGGTATGGATTTTTGAATGACGATTATGTTGTCTCTTATCCTGGGTCGTTCTTAAAGCTAGAATTGGACTTGTTCGTCATTTTACTTCAGCTGATTTGTTTAATATTATTTTATGATATTGATAGGATATCATTTTAGTCTTTTTGAATAGATAGGTCCTTATTTCCACAACTTTAAAAGCTGGGGGTGTTTTTTTTGCACTATATTGATGCTACAGGGGATTTTTTGCACCACCCTTCTCTTAAATGCATTATATTTTCTGCAGTATTTATTTGTTTCTCTTATTGTATTATCATAGATAAAAGCAAATCTATAACAATCTGTTTTCTTTTTTCCCCCTGAATATTAAATTTTTTATGAAAGTGAAAATTGAAATGCATTTGCTGCATGGGATCTCTCATGGCCCATTTTAATCCTACTGCTGTATTCCCAGTTAATTGCCTGGGTCTGTTTGTAGTTTGAAACTTTGTCACCTATTTTTTTATTGTTTGAAACTTGGATTTGACTTTCTAGTGAACTGAGTATTGAAGGGCTGATTATGCTTTAGACTTTCATGATGGCTTTCGATGTGATGTGGCTGTAAGAGTTGCATTGACGGTGTTGCTTACTAAATTTTCCTTAATCATATGCTTGGTTAATTTCACACTTTTTACCAATGTGTGCGGAGTGTAATCTGCCGAGTACTTGGAACATGCTCTAGTTGTTGCTCTATGAGTTGCATTAATGGTGTTGCTTACTAAATTTTCCTTAAGCATATGCTTGGTTAATTTCACACTTTCTCCCAATTTGTGCAGAGTGGAGCAGCAATGAAGAAAATGACGACATCTCGCCTTATTTGGTTGGGATTGGCCATCGGCCAAGGACTTTGAAAGGAAGGCGTGGTACTTCCTCTATGGCTAGGGGTAACACCAGTGATGGAGGAGTAAGTGTCTTATTTCTGACTAGTGTAAATTGATTAGTTCAATGTCATTGAATTTTTATAACGTTGAGTTGAATTTGAGTGAAATATAACATATAAGAACTATTTGAGCTCTTTATAAAGTATTATGGTCTGTGTTGAAAATTCAAGATTAGTTTCTTTTATTAATTATATTTCCATTTTGGAAGTTAGCACGTCCCCATCCCCCCTATGTTTGTGTGTGTGTATATGTATATATTTCCTGATCTTGCTTTAAAGTAGAAGAGGGGCTGTTGGTTGGTCGGCCTTGTGGCAAATGCTCATAGCTCCATGGATAAGAACTTCAGCTTGATTTGATGATCCACACTGTGTACTGATTTGTTTTAGAACTTCAAGTGAAAAAGAGGGAAAAGGAACCGAATAAAGGTTGTCATCAACATTGGGACGGTAGAGAAGAAGTCTTTACTCAGAGCATGACTGGTGTTTCTTATGTAGGGCAATTTCCATACCATGAAGCACAGTCTAGGTGGCAAAACGGATACATATCAGGCTTTCCGCAATAATGATGAAGGTTTGTTTCCTAGTGTAAATATTAGAGTTGTTATATTCAATAATTGCGTCAACTGAAGAATTGACATTTTAGTGCTTTCTTAGATGGGCTTGCTTTTATTGAAGAAACTCAGAGGTCTCTTGATACCTGGGAGATGAATGTGCTCAGCAATAAAGGTAGCTTTTCCATCTAATCCTAATAAATTGGTGTATCACAGTTTGCTTGAGATTGTAGGTAACCACTCCTTGTGCTCCTGAGAATTTGGTGCCTTTATTTCGTGTTTTTTGATGGGAATGGCAAATTGATTATTATTTTTATGCATGTTTATTTTCTAAGCTTCACGATGACTGTAGATGTTTGAACCTGATGTGTCGAAATCATAACGTGATGAGTCATATAACCTACTAATTTTTATTTTTTTTAGTGGAAGATCAATGGTAATGTGGCAAGTGGCAACTGTGCTTGATAACGTGATGAGTTGATACTCATAACAGACGGACACAATAGTAAGGTTCCATTTAGCCATGCTACTATGGGTTACAACGTACTTTTGTTGAACATTGTGTAATGTTAAGTGAACTGATATGCGGGGTTTACCCCCTGTTCACTAAAGGGCCATAAAATTGCACAAAAGAATGTGGTTAATTGATGATCCTCTTGCACGTTGTAGTGGGTGTGGTGGTTTTTTGAACCTTTTCGTTTCACTTTTCCATTTTCTGCTGCAACACAATAGGAAATGCTTTGTTGACTTTCAAGTGGTTGAATCTGCATGTGGTTCCCTTCCTTGCAGCAATACAACATTTAGATTCTTTGATTTAACTGAAGTTAGGTGTTAGCTAGAGCCAGGGCGGACTCAGAAAAGTATGTTTGGGGGGGGGGGGGGGGGGGGGGTTTGTGGAATAGTGGAGTTTTTCTATAATTGCAGTGGGGGCAAAGTTAAAACTTTATAGATATACAATTCAAAAAAAATAAGAAGACAAAATTAGTAGGTTATGCCTTGCTAGTGTGAAATGGTGAAACATCGTGACGATGCTTAACTGAGTTGAGTATTTTAGTTTATTTTCTCTATGCCAATTTAAAATTTGTATTTATTTTTCTTTTATTTATTATTTTTATTTATTGAAAGTCTTTTTGAGAAGCATGATTGTCGCTCACTCGCTCATGAGAAATTAGAGACTTTTAACATCTAATCGTGTACGCTCACCTTTTTGCTCAATTATAGTGTAGGATACCCGAGCATTTCACGATCTTCCACTCCTGGAGACCCCTTCTTGCCATCGTTGTTCCACCACTAACTCAACATCTCTACCCTCACACGATCACCAATTTTGTACTCCCTCGTTAGAATTTAGGTTTTTATGAAAGAGAGAAAGAGGGGTCATTATGTGAACCATCCCTTCTACTTACGAGTAAGGGCGTAGATTAAGTTGAGCACTAAAATTTTAAGAATCGGAGGATAGAACTTCTTAATGCTTGCCAAAGACGGTACAATCAGGTTAAAAAGCTTGCCATGGCTTCTGCTATGATTATTAATTTGGTATTATAGCATGGAGGATTAGTATAGCTCGAAATTTGGAAAAGAAGCTACGTCTTATGAGCACTGTCAGCCCCTATTTGTGAAAAAAGGTGCAAATACACCCCCTCTGACCACTTCCTAATGAAATTTGACAAAATAATTTTGATAATCTGATTTTCCCCTTTTGCCCTTCCAATTTTTCCCTTCTCACGAATCTTTCTCACTTTTCCCTACCTTTCTCTCCATGTGTACGTGCTCTCTCTTGCAAACATAAGCATTCTCTTGTCGTCTTACATGACATGTGTATGTGATCCATGTATATTGTACTTAATAAACATGCATATTGTACATACATAAACATATAAATGTATATATGTATGTGCTGGTGTGAACGTGTGTTTTAGTGTGGCGTGAGGAAAGAAAGGGTAAATAATAAAAAAAGAATAAAGAAACAAATATAGAGGTGTGTACTGCTCGTATGTCTGGGAGGTGGTTAGCTACTGTGTATACCGGTCATTTTCAAGGATGTTTCTGAGTACGTGGTTTTGTTAAGTGAGAATTAATTTATGTTAAAATGGTTTTACCTTGTAGAGAGAAAAGAAATGGGGTTTGTGCACTACTGTAGATTTTAGAGAGAGAGAAATCGGGTTTGTGTTTGCGGTGGATTGAAGGGTCAGAAGTGAGGTATGTATTTTTGAATGATGATTATGTTGTCTCTTATCCCGGGTTGTTCTTAAAGCTAGAATTGGACTTGTTCATTATTTCGCTTCAGCTGATTTGTTTAATATTATTTTATTATATTGCTAGGACGTCATTTTAGGCTTTTTGAATAGATAGGTCCTCGTTTGCACAAATTTAAAAGCCAGGGGGTGTGTTTTTTTGCACTATATCGATACTATGGGGGGATTTTTTGCACTACCCTTCTCTTAAATGCATTATATTTTCTGCAGTATTTTATTTGCTTCTCTTATTGTATTATCATAGATAAATGCAATCTATACAATTCTGTTTTCTTTTTTCCCCTTGAATATTTAAATTTTTATGGAAGTGAAAATTGAAATGCATTTGCTGCCACGGGATCTGCCATGGCCCATTTTAATCCTACTGCTGTATTCCAAGTTAATTGCCTGGGTCTGCTTGTAGTTTGACTTGGGTTTGACTTTCTAGAGAACTGAGTGTTGAAGGGCTGATTATGCTTTAGACTTTCATGATGGCTTTCGATGTGATGTGGCTGTAAGAGTTGCATTGACGGTTTTGCTTACTAAATTTTCCTTAATCATATACTTCGTTAATTTCACACTTGTTCCCAATGTGTGCAGAGTGTAGAAGCAGTGATTGGATTGGTTTGAATCTGGCATCTGCCGAGGACTTGAAACATGCTCTAGGTGTCGCTCTATGATTTGCATTATTGGTGTTGCTTACTAAATATTCCTTAAGCACATGCTTGGTTAATTTCACACCTTCTCCCAATTTGTGCAGAGTGGAGCAGCAATGAAGAAAATGAGGACATCTCGCCTTATTTGGTTGGGATCGGCCATCAGCCGAGGCCGAGCACTCTTTCTTCTGAGCAGAAAGCCAAAAAAAGACAGAAGCGGAAGAGACGACACCAGATACTGAGCTAGGACTCTTTCTTCTGAGCAGAAAGCCCAAAAAAAAAATAAACAGATGCTAATAGGACTTGTTGCTTATCCACTAAGTGATTTAGCTTTGGTAATGCTTGTGCTTCCCTTATCTGACTTAGATATAAATATAGGTTTGTAAAAAGTATCTCTGGCTTGGGTTGCCATCTAACCTCCTCATGTAATGCCGTCATGTTGAACAACGAAAATACTGAATTTGGTTGATAGCTTTGATCCATGATAGGAAATTTCCTGTGTTGGGAATGATGATCTTTTTTGCATCTAGACGAAGTCAGTAGTAAATTTGAACGGTGACCATAAAAAGAAAAGGTCACCAAACCAAAGAGCTGTTAAGGCACTGTTTGGCTGTGCCTTAAAAGGTTTTTTTGGACAAAAAAAGTTAAAAAAATTTGATTAGTGATTTTTTTGTCCTTTTAAAGTTTTTCAATGTTCATACTGACGTTGTAGTCGTTAACTCTTTGGCTGATTCAAACAGTTCCTTAATGGTTATATTGCTACAAAATTATTTTTTTTCAAAAAATAATATATATATATATATTTGAAAAAAAACTTTTTATTTTTCCTTTATAAATACATCAACCTTTCATTTTTTTTACACATTATATATATATATATATTTGAAATTTTTTTTTTTTATTTTTTCTTTATAAATACATCAACCTTTCATTTTTTTTACACATTATTAGAATACATGCGATTTAGAGACTCCAAACATTGATGTGGCTTTTGAAAATACTGACGTGGTATGACTTCAGGCTCCAACATGGACTGTTCATTGGACACCTTGCAACCAATGGCTGTATAGGCCAGTGCATTCCCCCCATGGTGGATATAAAGAATGGCTGTGTTTTGTAGGCTAGTGCAGTCAGCATGATATGATATAAAGAAAATTATATTTATGGATGGTTAAATTTATTTTTGGTAATTGAGAGAACTAAAATGCAAAGAAAACCTTTTAAGTGTGTTTGGTCAAGAAAAGTGAAGTCATCCATGTTGAGGGTAAAGTTAGTAATAAAAGACATGATAACATGTGAATTTGTCAAATGTATGATCTTAAATAAAGTGAAACGGAAACACGGAATTCATATAATTGATCCAAAGAAATTGAGAGAAAATGCTTAGTAGTTGTAGTTGTAATTAAAAGATATAGGGCGGGAGACGCATGTATGAATAGTTTCATGTATATTGTCTTGTTGTGTAAAGTTGATGTTCTCCTTGTTGGGAATAAATGCGTGCAAATAAGCAATCAAGAAGAAAAAACAATCATACAAGAACACAAGAAAAATTATTTTGCTTACATTTACGGAGTGCATCCAAAGAGCTATATATATATGCGATCTTCTCTTTCTCTCACAATCAATCTATCTATCGCACTCTTGCGTCAATCTCACTCTCACTCTCACCCTCACACTCACACTCACACCCACAACCCTTCTTTGACAGACTTGTATCTCTCTTACACACCAACCCAAAACGATAGAGAAACAACTTGCTCCACAAGTTTAGGGCCTTATGGAACAAATCTTCAGTTTGGGAGATCAAATCCACATTTTTATTTTCGTCAATCATAGTCATCGACCGATACGCTTCAATCTATGCTTCGATTTATAGCTTTACATAGCTTTTGGGATTGATGCATCGATTGATACCACTTCGATCTACAGCTTTACGCAGCTTCTGGGATTGATGCGTAGATTAATCACTTTGATTTGTGCTTTGATGTACAACTTTACACATTTCCTGGGATTGATGCGTAGATTGATACCAATTCGATCTAGGTAATCAAAATTTGTAATTTAGACCCCACAACCTCAACAATCTCCGACTTGGAGGCCAAAGGACAAGTAGACCAACTCCATGATTTTTTCTCTATCTTTAAGCTAAACGATCAACCACCACCAGAAAATCCTTAGCCTCTCGGACCGCAACCAATGGTGAGAGCAAGTTCAATGGTCTCAAATTCAATGATTTTGGGCTTTTTTTGGACCCAGCCTACTTCAATGTGGGTTGCCAAAAGAACACCTTTTTAGTGTGTTGGTGAGGAAAAGTGACGTCATCCATGTCGAGGGTAAAGTTGGTAATAAAAGACATGATAACATGTGGATTTATCAAGGACAAAGTGAAACGGAAACATGGAAATCATATAATCGATCTAAAGAAATTGAGAGAAAATGCTTAGTAGTTGTAGTTGTTGTAATTGAAAGACATAGGGCGGGATATGCATGTATGAATGGTTTCATGCATATTGTCTTGTTGTGTAAAGTTGATGTTCTCCTTGTTGGGAACAAATGCTTGCAAATAAGGAATCCGCATTTTTATTTTCGTCAATCATAGTCTTCACGTCATCGACCGATACACTTCAACGCATGCTTTGATTTATAGCTTTACACAGCTTTTGGGATTGATGCATCGAATCAGTACCACTTTGATATACAACTTTACACTTCTGGGATTGATTCATAGATTAATATTACTTTGATATATGTTTCGATATACGACTTTACACATTTTCTGGGATTGATGCGTAGATTGATACCACTTCGATCTACGTAATCAAATTTTGTAATTTAGACTCCACAACCTCAACAATCTCCTACTTGGAGGTCAAAGGACGGGTAGACCAGTTCCATGATTTTTTTTCTATCTTTAAGCTAGAAGATCAACCGAAGTTGCGCACAGTCTCAGTCCCCTTGTAGTTTGTGCTTCAGTGGTGGATAATGTTAGAATCCTCTGTATATGAGAAACCTAAGCAAGTGTAGTTGTGCAAAAAAAAAAAAAAAAAAAATTAAGGAGTAAATCACACACTACTAATAAATAAATGAAATTTTTTAGAACATTTGGATGGTTTGTAGAAATTTATATAGTGGAGAGAATTTAATACTGAGGAGGAGGATGACTAAAGAATAAAAACACAATTTAGACACGAGACTTCTACCACAATTGAGGAGGATGTGTATAAGTATATAAATTTCAAACAAACACAGTAACGTGAAGACTTCCTATAGACTACCTATCACATCAAATTCGTCGAGTTGAAAAAAAAAATATTAAACTTATAAAGTATTGGTAAATTCTTTAAAAAAAAAAAAAAAAAATTCGGTAATAAATTTGCAACACTCCAATCACATTGGATAGAAATCGGAGTATTTCTGAAATGAAGTATATAAATAAATAAATCAGTATAGATATTAAAATAAAATAAAATAAAATATTATTCCACCAGTCTCAGGGGAAACGGATCGAGTATTTTTATAGTAAAAGAATAAAGAAATCGGTAAATATAATTAAATTTTATTTTATTATCAAATAAAAGAAAAAATTAGTAAAGCTAAGTAATTTTTTTTTTCCCCCTACTTGAAAGCTAAGTAATTCATTTTGTCTCTCAATAGCTTTTCAATTATAGGGTTTTGATTTTTGTTCTTGATGCAGCCCACAACCTTTTGATTATAACACTTGTCAATACATTTTCATCGTCGTGAAGTTTCAAAAAGTAGCAATAGAAAAGGGCAAAAAAAAAAAAAAAAACTTATTAAAAAGAAAAGAAAAGAAAAAGAAGCAAAGTTATATTCCAATGATGTTCTCCCATTAAAATTGAAACCAACTGTCACTCACAAAATAAAAATCAGTCAATCTCCAAAAGGGTTTAAAGATGTTAGTGAAATATAGAAGAAAACCTCTAACGTTCCACTGAGAGTGTGTGGCTAGTTTATGTACTTTCGGAGTTCTGAACCAATCACTAACTTGGCTAGTTTATGTACTGGAGTTCCAGACCAATCATTAATTGACATATAAACATACGCATAAGCTTTGTGTCAGATTTATTGCACGTTTTTGCTTACCTGTCAATTATATTGTTAATCAAACAGTTGCTCCATCTGGTCATGTGAACACAGTGGAGCTGGTCGGGGACATTGAAGGGATAACAATATTTTCGTTTTCTTCCCCTATAACTAAGGATAATACGATATTCAGTCAGCTTTCCTTCTGGTTTTAATTTAATTGGCGCAATAGAATAGTTATCTATAACTTCCAATCTTTTTTGAGGTTTATACCACAAATATTTGGACTTTGGCCAGTTAAATTTGGAGAAAAAAATAACAGAAGTAATTGGGTTTGATTAGCATAATAAAAGACTGAAATTTATCTAACAAAATGAACGAACTATAACAAAACACATACATCCTACATTTCGTTTGACAATAGAAATCACAAGCATAGCAGGGCACCTGAGAACAGGTCAACTTCTAGAGAGCCCACACGGCTACTAGTCCTCAAGCCAAACATATCAAAAGATTAACACTCTTTTGCTATATATTTGCCAAATATATCAAAGGATTAACAATCTTTATATATATATATATATATATATATATATTATAACTTGACTTGTCCAATGTAATATAGTATTTAATTGCAGTTTAACTTCTAGTAATTTAAAGTTCTAGACATAACTGCCAAAGCTCTTTCTCAATAAAAAAAAAACTAACAAAAGCTCTAGTTCAATTACCCAGCTGGGGCAGGGGCTGCTGCTGCTCTTTGAAGGCAAAAATCTGTTTGATACCGCAATGGCTACATCGAAACTTTACACCCACGTTCCCTGCTGAGACTCTAATCTGGTGCATTCTTCCTAGGATTGGACAAAAGCTTTGTGCCCCCTGCTTAAATGCTTGAGTTAGTGATAATTGACAAAGTTTGCTTCATTGTAAGCAAAAGTAGAGGTTAAGGGTTCAAGTTTCATTAGGAGGAGCAATTATTTTCCAGGACCAAACATAAAAATAAAATACTAAAGTACCTGGTTTAAAGTTGATTGGTTGTGGCCCTGAAAATGTTATGACATGCATATATTCATGGACCATGATCCAGATTTTAAAACAAGCCAAGATTACACTTCAAACATGATTTAGCAGCACAAAATTAAGTCTTATCATATATATCTACTAGATTAAATCTTTTAAAGTCATTTCTTATCATTTCACTCCATATTAGACCATCCAGAAGGAATCCCATGCTTAACAACTTACTTATACTCTTTGCCAAAAGATTAACGATAAAAGTGTTCTTCAACTCTACTAGGGAATCCCAATTAAGGAAGCCATTGGAAGCCTGGATTGAACTCCAAACTCCAGAGGAGAAATGACACAAGAAGAAAACAACAGTTGGGAATATCATGATAAACTCTCTTTTATGAGTGAGGTTGCCAAGGAAGAAAAAAATAAGTCATCCCCAAAAAAAACGTTCCTGAGCTCCACACCAGTCACTCCTCTGCTTCGGAGGATCCAATCTGTCCATTTCCAACTTCTCTGTCATCAATGGCCCATGGCATCCTTCAACATAACAACCTAAGGAATTTTGGATGAGGCAAAGGACATCATCATAATGAAGTATTTATCCAACCAACTAGTTGAAGCAAAGAAGGCCCACAATGGAGATATTAAATAGTTAAAGCTCCAAGAGAAGGAACAGGCTTCACATTATGAAATCTCTCGGCTGAGGCAATCCCTATATATCCAAGCTGAAAGGTGAGAATGCAGATCATGAACCATCCCTTGTCAACAGGTGAAAGCTCTCCCAACCCTGTTTTAATCCCCATTGGTAATTTGATTGTCCCTATTACACCCATGTCACCATTTAATTCTTCAAACTTTTATCCTCATCCTAGTGAATTAATTAAGGAACTCTTGCATATTGCGTACAAACCCCCATCATAACCCTTGCTCAGCTCAGCTTCACCCACCCTCCTTCCTCTTCCTGTGAAATCCATTACAGTGAACAATCCTTTGCCAGCCCACAACCTGCTGTCTACCCTGCCAACTCTCACTTTAACCATGCCAATGCTACCGTACCGTGACTTGGTCCGACACAACACAGGCTTCCATCCAACCCCTATGCAATTTGAATTCTTTCAACCTTCCAAATGTAATGGGAAGGTCTCAATCAGCCCTCCTCCCTCTATCTCCTTTGAAGGTGAAACAGAATGGAAAAAATATATAAGAGATTTTATGAACAGTGTTTTCTTCCGTGGTGTACTTCATGGAAAACCAGTTATATTATGCATCTATTGTATATATAACTAGTTGAAGTAGCCATTTTGACATGTATCGCAGGAACTATCTTTCACAAAATACAAAAACAGGAAAGCTTTCACTACAGTGGATGACATAGTGTTGTTTTTCACCTACACGGCTACACCATGTATCAAGTTTTCTTTATATCGGAAAACTATGGGCTTCTTCATCAACAGATAACCAATCTTCATCAGTTGCAAACGCATAAAAGGGATTTCCCAAGAAATTTGTGGGCCAGCAATATTAAAATATCAAGGGCAACCTCAAGTGTTTTTTTAGATAAAAATCAGGAACTAATAAAAAATAATAATAAATAAACTAAGGAGAATCACAAATTTTCTTAATGATGTTAATCAATCAAAATGATGAATACTCTAAGAAGAATGAGGAGAGCAGCACGGAGTGTGAAAAAAAAAAAAAAAAACAAAACTAAGACTATTGATAGGCTAATATATAATTATATAATAATATATATGCGCAACTTAAGACTATTGCTTTTGCTGTAAGTGCGCACTGTGAAAACAATTCCCAATACCAGTAAGCTCAGGCTACCAAGCATGAGTCTGAATTTTGAACTCACCAGCTCATAAAATCTCAAAAGAAAGTCCCATTTAAAGTTGTTCAAGCCAATGCTCACAAGATATGGAAATCTAAGGGCCTTATGGAAGTTATAGCTAATTCATAGGGCTATTTCCTTTTCAAATCAAGAACCAACATTCAGCTGCTAGAACCCTTGAAGAGGGACCATGGACTATTGCCAACAAGCAAATTGTTCTAAGGTTTGTAATCCCTCTGTCCAGATTGACCAAAACCCCTGCAACAAAATCCCTCTTTGGGCAAAAATCTTCAACATACCCCCACTCTGATTGAGGGTTTCGAACTGCTTACTGGCAAGGTTGACTACACTTGGAGACCTCCCTCATGTGGAGTGTGTCAACTTCTGGGACACTCATCTAAAGATTGTACACTCAAACAACCCTGTCATCCCAACCACTAATCCCATGCCAGACTTGAACAATGGCTGGACATGAGTCACTAGAAGCTCCAACCCAACCTACAAGCAATCTGAACTCCCACCACTCACCAATTCAACTGCCTCTCTCTGATATTTCTCCATTTAATTCTGTCCATTCTAATTTCCCAACCTATGAACCTCTTTCTCCATCACACATTTCTGCTGCTCCTTTCCCATCCTCCTCTCCTAAACCTACTCCTGAGTTTGCTGATATCAACCTAATTGTTAACCTTTCACCCTTCAAAATGCATTCCCTCCCCTCAACAACCCCCAACTTCTTCTGATTACCCCACCAATCCTACCCATGCCAGAAATACTATGCCCATTGCCCAATCACTTTGTCTAATCATGATGATGGCATTTGAGATAAACAGGACTAAGACAACATACAAAACACTATGTAGAAGTAGAAATGACCCAGTTCATGACACCTCTAGATAACTAGAAATTCAATAGAAATATGAAACAATAATAAAATGGGCATAACTAGTCAAGTCACAGTATTAAGAAATTTACAAAATTAAGCCAAAAAAAAAAAAAAAAAAAAAAAAAGAGATAACGGGGTTAGATTATCACAAAAATTCAATACTTAAAACAAGCAAGAGCCAATTCATTGGCTAGACTTTTTACCTGAACCAGTGGCGGTTCTGGTATTGGTACTGGCACTGGCCCGATAGGCTGGTTCCTGGAAATTTTCCTGCAATCAATGCAACGTGCTTCGACTTTGAGGTGTTCGAAGGCGCACGATACTGCGTTTATTTTGGGACAGCTGCAACTCCAAACATGATTCTACAAAATATATATATATATATAGCATCAAAATACAATCAAACATATAAACAAAAACACGAATATAGTATTAATACCGCAATTTCATAAACGCCGGCGTCAGGTACGGGATGGCTCGGTCGCTTCCACCCTCAAATTTACAGAGGTAAGCACGGCGGCAAGTATCACAAAACACTCTGCATCCAAATTCATTCACCGAGACCTTCAGTCGAATACGTGTCCCGCACATACAATATATGCTGCAACGTACGCTGATAACATTTCCGTCGATGAGTCAAGAAAAGCAGAAACGGAGTAAATTATTGAAAATGCAATTTAAAAAAAATCCATTACTTGAGGAGGACGCTGTTTTAGAAGGAACAGATCCGCCGCATCGTTATGCTCCTCCGCCGCGTGCTGCGGTGGTGGCGACGGAACATTCAGTTGGTCCGCCATTTCTCTCTCTCTGACTCTTGAGTAATTTGCCTATAGAGTATGATGGACTGGTATATATATATATAATGGAATGTAGAGAGACTATATTGTATGCGGCTAAAAGACGAAAGAAAAAAGAAAGGGCTCTCTAACCATCAGATGACACCTGTCTTGGTAGAATCATGGATGCTGGTACTCAATATACTCCGTATATTTTTAATTTTAATGGATTAATCTCAATTTGAGAAGTTTTAAATGCGAGCATAGGAATGGTCACTTGAATTTGAAATTAAAAGACGCTTAATTTAAAATTTATATTATTATTATTTTTTTAATCTCAAAGTCATAAAATCTACGTTAAAATTTAAACATAAATTATTTTGTTAGTAAATTCTCAGCGTGTAATTTTCACAAATTTTAATTTTATCAATTTGTATTTTTTGGTTGAAATTTTGAAACACGTAGAAATTTCGTATTTGTTCTGAATTTTTCAAAAAAAAAATATAATCTTTTAAAAAGCTGGTACAAAAATTGAAGCGAAATATTAGAATGAAAGTCTGAAAATCTGTTACAAAAACAGAATGAAAATCCATAAATAAATAAATAAAGGTCCATTGAAATAACATAAATGGAAAAAACAAATTGAATAGTTTTTGTAGACTTTTTTAAAACAAAATTTTAACATGTTAAAAAGAATAAAAAAACTCTTAAGAAAAAAAACATGTTAAAAAAAATATTGGAAGCGCGCTTGAGAGTTTTGATGATGGAGAGGATGTGAGACAGCATAATACAGTGGGCTGCGGAGTAAGCGAACGAGTCTTCTTTGAGAGGCGTGAGGATTGGCTGACTAAGGAGATGACTAATTTGCCCTTATCCTTTGTACTATGATTTACAGATTCTGCGTTACTTGTTTTCCAAGTTTAGGGGAATTAATGTAACGGCACGTTTGGCAAATTAATTCAAAACGTAGGTCGTTGTTTTAGGTTACACGTGTATTGCGTATTAATGGGCTGTGAGGAACTGGGAAGTGGACAAGGTGAAATTAATAAACACAGCTTTAGTACAAATATGATATATTTGTTTTTACGTAAAAACAAATATATCGAAGTTAGATCGAAGTATTTGGTAAAAATTTAGATCGAAGTTAAAGTCGAGTCTATCAAGCGGGACATATAAATAATTTGTCGAAAATTAATGAATAAGTTATTTTTGTTAAATTTTAATATTTTTTTTTTCGTAAATATTTTACGATAACTAAACACCAAAAAATTAAAAAATATTTTTTAAAAAATATTTTACATTCAAACCCTCAAATTTGGCCAAATATCACATTGAAACATTTTTTGATATCATTAAGGTTTAATTTTACTTTTCAATCACTGACATCATTAAAAACATATAAAAATAATATTTCAAAAATATCAACAATTTAAAAGAACCAAATTACCATCATTAATTACTCTCACCCACCCACTCCTCTGGACAAATTCATAGATAATCACTAACTAGCGGCCAATGGCTGAACCTATAACTCAAGTGCCAACAATTCAATCCAAACCTTGCCATAAAGGTTCTGTCAACTAATTTTTGTAGAAAAAAAAAAAAAGGCTGTTAAAAAAAAAGGGAAGAACATTTTCTTCATTATTATCAAAATGAGGAGTCAAAAGCCAGTAGGAAAAAATGAACAAAGGATAAGGTTTATATGTACGTCCAGCATTTTCAATTATTGAGTGTCACTCCCACTCACTGAAACTAGACAAAATTTATTTTGCAAAAACATAGTTTAAATAAGAAATCCTTGAAAAAACCTCATCAATTTCATAATAAAAAAATAATACTAATTTATCCATATAGTTTAATAACAATCTCTATATATGAAAACAAACAAATAATAGACGAAATTTTTAGTCGATTTCAGAGACAAATATTTGAAACATTTGGAAAACTCAATACACCTACCACCAAAATTAACTTCCATGGACAACAATAGTAACAACAGAAGAGAGAGGGGATTTGAAGGAGTATTTATCAAAGGTTATTCAAGTCATTTCAACTCTTTTTGTAAGTAAAAAATGAGTCAGTCATAAGGTAGCAATTTTATTTTACATACAAAAAGTGCTCTCACACCACTAAAAAAGTAACGCAGAAAATGGACTCAAAAGTTATGATTGAAGTGACAATAAATTTTGAAAAATATTTCAATGTCATGTTTAACTAAACCCGAAAGAGTGTTAATATAATTAACCCTTTTGACTAAATTTGAGGGAGTGTTAATATAATTAACCCTTTAAAAATTTGATACGCCGGGTAATGCATTTTGTGTGGGGCTAATGTGATTCCAACGATGCATTTTACCTGGCGGTATGTTATAATATCACATATGAGATAATGCTATTTTTTTTTTACTGTAATATTATAATTTAATAAATAAAAAATTAAATATAGGGTAAAGCATTAAAAAAAACCTTAGAATGTGAGTTATGTCGCTCTAACTCACCAAACACAAAATGATAGAAAAACACATAGGCTCTGTATATTTGGACGTAAAATATTTTTTTGAAAAAGGTTTTCTTTCTTGGGTAAAATTTGTTATTTTTATTTTTTAGTGTTTCTAGGTTGATGTTGAGGGCAAATCGAACGGGTGGGCAGTATAAAATAATTTGTTAAAAATTGATGGGTGATAGGGAAAAATATAAACCTACTCTACCCTCGATAAGATTGATTAGATTTCATTATCAAGGATAATGAAATCAAATCTGACGTGGTTCAACAAGTAAGAATAATCTTACTATAACTGGAGGAGGTCAAAATGATTAAATCATATCCCGACAAATCTGGTAATAAATCTCCTATGATTTCGCACAAGTGGAAGATAAGGTCAACCATCGACATCAGCGAAACGATTTTGATTCTAATCGACAGCCATAAATAGGGCATTAAGCCATTAAAGAAGGTACGACGTAAAAAACTATTATTAATCCCTGCCTTATTTTTAGATCTCCGTGACTAATTTGATCGTCGGAGAGCTCTTGGCAGGCACCACACCGGTGCTGTCAAGGTTTATCGATCTTCTCCTCTCTTCCTTGCAGGAAAACGGTATCGTATCGGACTGCGCGAATTTCAGCCTCAACAGTTGGCGCCGTCTGTGGGAATCACGATTCCCTTGAATCAATTAATTACTCGTTGGGTATATACGTTTGCAGTCCGGTATGGTTACCGAAGGAACACCGTCGCAAGGATCTGGTCAAAGGGTAGAGTCGGGTGAAAACCTGGACGTCCCAAACGACCAGGCACAACTTGTAGCGTTGGAACTACAGGTTCAAACTCTGAGTCAGGGTATGAACCAGTTGATCCAGCAAAATGCATCGCTCTTGCAATACCTTGTTCCACTTGCTCAACAAAACTTTCCAGGACAAGATCTCTCAAGTCCAAACGGAGGTAATGAAAATCTTGAAGAGAGGGATAATCATTCCCCCAAAATGAGACTGAAGTGGAACAAAGCCAGGTGGGAACCCAACATAGAGAAGTGGTTCACCCATCTCTCCTACGGAGTTCCCGACCTCCTAAAAGCATAGCCTTCTATCTTAAGGAAAAGACAAAGAAAGTTACCCATCTCGACTTGCAGATCAAGGATCTCAAGGGGAAAATGGAAGATATAATGCAGGCTATGAAAGGGAAAGGTCCTGCCGCCGTAGATGACCTGGTACAAAGGACCAACTTGCCTTTCAGCCCCGCCGTTATGAAATGTTCACTACCTAGCAAGTTCAGGATGCCCTCGTTCGAAAGCTTCAATGGGACCAAAGATCCCCTCGATCACCTGGAAACTTTTCAAGCTCTTATGCATTTACACGCTGTGCCAGATGAAATCATGTGCCGAGCTTTTCCTACTACACTTAAGGGATCAGCGAGAGTTTGGTTCAACAAGTTGAAGCCAGGAACCATCAACACTTTCGAAGAATTGAGTAAACAGTTTGTGAGCCACTTCATTGCAGGTCACAGACATAGGAGGCCGGCTACCTACCTGTTTATCGTGGAGCAACAAAAGGAAGAGTCGATTCGGGAATACATCACCCGATTCAACGTAAAGATGTTGCAGGTAGAAGAGGCGGACGACAAGGTAGCTTTGACCGCTTTCATAGGAGGACTCCAAACCTCCAGATTCTTGTTCTCCTTATCAAAAGAACCTCCCACCAGCATGATAGAGTTGCTGGTCAGAGCGCAAAAACACATCAACGTTGAAGACACCATGAGTGTACGGAAGGAAGGAGAAGACAAGAAGAGGCCAGCCCCTCTCGCCAGGGATGAAAATAATACCAAATATAAGAAATCGTTCTTCAGCCAGAGTGACAGCACATATCATGAGAATGACTCAGATGAGTATACCGACTAGAAATTGTCTCGTGGCTGGAATTAGCCTTATCAAGTCATTCACAATAAAGACTGGGAGTATCTTAGTTAATCATTTTAAATGGAGGGTAGCTCCATCACGTGTTATTTAGTTTTTAATAATGATGGTCTTTAATAAAATTCCTTTTAGTTTATACGTGCAGTATCCCCGTACTATAAGGGATAGTAAATGAGTATCCTGTATTACAAGGACCTCGGCTGAATGAATTCCGTAATCCGTATCCCCGTACTATAAGGGAATAGTAAATGAGTGTCCTGTATTACAAGGACCATGACTGAATGAATCCCGTCATCCATATCCCTGGACTATAGGGGATAAGTAACTTGTATTATCAGGATCCGAGTTGAATGAATCCCGTAATCCATATCCCTGTAATATAAGGGATAATAAATGAATGTCCTGTACTATAAGGACTTGGGTTGAATGAATCCCATAATTAATATCCCCTTACAAGAAGGGATAGTAAATAAAAATCTTT